ATTAACAGAACTAGCAGGGAAGTATAGAAGAAGTTCATGCTGAAAAATTATCAAGCAAAAGCAGGTACTTCAGTCGAAGTCCAAAGATTGGTAAAGATTTACGTACACAAAAACTCGAGCGTTGATCTTTTCAAAGTTAATCATGTTTAAAATAGTATATTAATGTGAGAACTGTTATTAAAAATGCAAAAAAACTCAAAATTTTTACTAGTGATTAGAAGTTAAAATGCATGAAGCAAGATATGTGTGTAAAAACATCCATCTTTACTTCTTGAATTTGGTCAATTTTGAAAAAGTCTGGACTTAATTCAACAATCCACTAAGAACCAAGTGGCTTGGAAATAAAAGCAAACTTACTAAGTGTAGAAAAAACAAAAACCCAGTCATTAACAAACCACGAAGTACCTGAAGGAGGACTGTGGAAGTGATAAATCCAAAGGCATATTCACCAACACGTGGGTGACGGATAATAGCAACTTCTTTAAATGCAGTTGTGTTTTGGTCTGAAACAGAATATCCAGACAGAAGGTCAGCTTAATGGACTCTTGGAGATGACAATTCTGAAAAACAAAGTATATGAAGTGGTAACACATGAGCATGACGCCATCTTCTGACCTCAAGAAAACAGTTGTCTGTTTAATCTCATGTTTATGATAGTTTGGGTTTGGTGACAGCATTGTATTTGTGCAGTAGCTTTATTAAGCTCTAAGTAGATTTGCGTGGCATACCCAGACTCAGGAGTATCATTACCAATTAAGACCACCACTTCTATTTCGGCTAAGAAAAGAGTGTAATAAGATCCGGAACATATAGTCGACCATCAAGAATGAATAGTCCATGGAGACTGAGAAAATATTTGCAGGTGAATATTAGCATATGAAACTTTTATGTCCATGCAGAGATTAAAGTTGTTCCTATATTCTGGAGAATTTGGTCAAAGTTGTTTAAACTTATTTTAATCAACTACATAACCTACATGAAGCAAAAAGATTCAACAAAACTATCATAATCAACTCAATGTGTCAATATCTTTGTCTCTAAAATAAAAGCCGAGGCTAATCAAGATCGTGCATAAGATTTGAAAGTTACAAAGGAAAGCATGGACTTCTGATAAAACTTTGATTCTTTAATAAATACATCGACATAGACATCCAACACGTGTATATCCCAAAAATAATGAAACATGCCACCCACTATAATGCAAACATATTTAGGTAAGAAAAAATATCCTTGCCAGGAGAAATAGCAGCACTGATTTGCTTGGAGGCCGAGTAAATATGTTTCACAAAAGGCATTCGCTTGATAATCCATTCTCCAATCCAGAAAACCGTGGCACCCAGCCAAGATGATACAAAAACGCCAACAAGGAAGACAAAAACTAAGGATGTGACAAATCCAAGTCCTGCATCATGAAGAACTGCATAAAGGACAAAGAAACAGACACATACAAACATACTAATAGAAAGAGAAAAAAAATAAAGACCAGGTTCTGCAAAAATAGTTAGATACCTAACAATAATTGGTCAAACAATTTATGGACTTTGCTAGGAAAAATGTCCATATTGCTGTCAAATTAGTAATAAAAATGCAAATATCTTATGATAGGGAACATAAATAAGTCCTGCGTGTGCCTGAAACTATGTTTATGACCCCACAAAAGACATATTTATCTGAAGCATTAGGCTTTGAGATCCCAAAGAAATTTCTCTAATAGGATGACAATTGACTCGTACAATAAATTTAGAGAGGCAATCCAACAGAGTTAAATATTTGTAGAATCCTAGGTTGATAATAGGACTTCTTGAAAACCAAATATCAAAATATTGCTCCCTTCATTAAAATGAAGGGCCCAAATATTGTAATGTCAGGCAGGTGAGCTGAAGAGGATATGACTAGTAATTAAGTCAATTGACTCCAACTTCATATAGCAAATAACAGGTTGGATAACCAAATACTAGGTACTATTGAATTTTTCATTTAAGTCAAGAAGCTGGGAACAAGTTTTTACAGTTTTTGGCATTCTTGAAGTTCAATACACGGAAATAAATCAGTTAACCTTGACTAACTTTTGATTTCCTTATATCAAGAGCAAAAACTTCAATGGATTTGTCAGCTTCAAGCTCAACATCTGACTGCAGCTTAAACTCTTATGATGGGAATTCATCAAACATTTTGCAGTTCAACAATTTTCACAAAAGCCCATAATTTCAGTTGTAGCTCCTCACTGTCACTTAAGTGCAATATTAACAGAGTTTGCAAAGCATTTCGACTTAATTACACTGGAAAAATTAATCTTCTCCAATTATTGTCAGAGGGTACACAAAAACAATTTTTGAAAATTCCACCCTTGTTGTACACTCTCAGTTATTTTCCACGAGTTCCAGTCTTCAACCAAGCGTCATGTTGCTCTTCACTTCGTAGAACCATAAGAATAATAGATCTATCCCCATTTGGCACATTTACTTACGCTATTACAAACAGTTATATAAGACTATAAGGCCTAAATAAGAAACAAAAGAATGGTACAGCATACCAAAAATGTCAATGCCCAGTTGCTCATATAGTGGACTGAAGAAACCATCAACAAACTGAACAAACCACCATGTGACAAAAAAAGTAACTGCAACAGGGAAGAGTACCACACTGCAATTCAAATTCTGCGATGATTAGGCTCAAGACTGTTAGAAAACTGAGAAATAATAAAATGAAACAGCAAACTAGTTACCATCCAGTCATGAACTTCTTCGAAACCCAACTTTGAAGGAAGAAACAGCAAGCCTGAAAAATTGAAGAAAATCATGAGATAAGACATCCAAAAGAATTTTGTAAACATACAGATGCATCAGCTCAGACTCTTTCATGCTGAAAGGATGCTTGACAAAAGATGCAATGGTTGAAATTGATATTTATTGTATAACTTCAAACACATATTCTAATACTTTTGGCAGTGATAAGTATGCCATGTGATTGAGAGGTGCCCTAAATTTCAGAAACTGATTCAGTTAAAGACACATAGATATAGAATGAAATTATCAAATTTTAGTAAAGGAATCTTTAGCCAAAAAACTAGTTCAATCGGAGTAACTGTAGCACTATTGCAAGGTATTTATAATGAACAAAAGATGCAACAAATGACTAACTTATATTCACCAATATTTAAAAAAAAAAAAAAGAGTGGCATTCGGTCACAAACAAAGCAATGCGTTGCTCTCATTTACTTCACAGAATTGTATTTATCATCATAACATCATCATCATCAGAGGGTATGAAAAAGGATGGACAAAGAGCCATTCTGATTTCTGCAAGTGTACATATTCTCTCTTATGTTTGAAACATTCAACGAGTCAAAAATGGTATTCAGATGCTGGCAGCTTGAAAATGCTTATAGTACAGAAAATGAAGACAAGATCATTTCCCAAGCTCACACTCATCAAAGCTCACACTCATCAAAGCTCACACTCATCAAAGAAAACGCAATTATCCAACCTCAGACCATCCCATTTGCAGCAACCCTCAAAGAATAATGCCAAAATAGAACTTCATCACAATGAAAAGATGCTCATTTTACAGAACTTCATCTGCCAGGACGATGGTTGCATCATCTGACCACAACACCTAGAAGAGTTGCTTGAAAAAATATGCACTCTGAAGTTCCATGGCAAGGCATGCATGATCAACCAAAGCCAACTTCCTGTTTACTTCAACAAATGGCTAATTATAGGTCAAATTAACAATAGAGCAAAAACACAGTCCAAGTGGGTATTCTGAACACTCTTACCGCCACTGTCCTCTTATGTGATGAGAACCTTATCTAATCAATATACTAGGTGAATACTCTAGAAAGTAGTGTTATATTATTTATCCAAAAGACACGATATTACTTATCTATACAACATAGAGCCACATATCCTTTTAGATTCTTTGTAATATATCAATGTCTTTGTTAACCATCTCAGACTAATCGGATCCTAACTTCTGCCAGAAAAATGGGTTGCGCATTACAATCTTACCTTGTTTCATTATTTCCCACAGAGCTGTCAACAGTATACCATTTTTTTTAGCATAAGAACTGTCTATTGTTGTTTCACTGATTCTGTTTCAAGTATCAGATCATGAACTGGATCTGGATTCGAAGCATCCTTGCTCCAGTTGAATATCCCTTAGAAACACATTCCATGATTGGTCATGTAAAACCTTCGACATCCTTCAGACTGTAATGAAAAACTCAATTACACGCATAAAATGAAACAACCAATCAAACTCCATCAGCTAGAGTTATCAATCTACCCATAAAATGCCCAATTAACTTAAAATTTTATTTGAATATTGAGGGTTCTATTTTCTTGTTATTGAAATTCAATTAAGAAGCATCACATTCAGATAATACCATGATTTCCCCATATAAATGGGTTCAGAAATGTTCATTGAAAATGTACTTAACAAGACATCCAATATAAGGAGGTCCAAATTTAATGAAATGAAAAGGGTATTAAAGCAAAAATAAATAAAAACGGTGGAACAAATAGGCAAAATTAAAACAAACTACTACCTTACGGGTGGAAGAATTGGACGAATTGGGGGAAGATTTAACTGGGTTTTCGGGATCTTCTTCATCAACGCTTTGACTGAGTGGCACTGACGTGGCATCTTTCTCGTCCGCCATCTTCGTTTTCTTCTCCCTTTTTGCGGATTCAGAACAATCTAACCCAAAGGTTTTCTGCCCAAAGAATGAACTAAGACCAGACCTGACTAGACTTGAGAAATATTGGAATTTTATCACTATGGTATTTAGACTTGGATTGGAATTGAAGTAAAAAAGCTGTAAAGCGTTTAAAGAAACTAGCGTGAACAACAAAAAAAAAAGTGAATACCCGTGATATGCACGGTGCTTACATTATTAAAAAAAAATTACAATCTATGGAAGAATTTAAAAATAATAAAATATTATAATCACGGTACATGAAAGTATATTTTCAAAAATGAAACTTTGTAACAATAGTTCAATATATGATAAAAACATCTCCATTATTATAAACGATCATTTCGATGAAGGTTGGATCCTGAAAAAAAAAATAGAAATCTATATCATAAATTGAGCGACATATGGGTCCAATTAAATATAATTGAATATTTAATTTGATAAGTAAATGAAATACTTACAGACATTTTGCCTTTGATTTGATAATCTTCTACGAAGGTGTTAACATTCTTCACACCAATCAACCTTGAGTACGAACGCCAGTTTTGGGGGTTTAATTAACTCTATTGTTTTTTGTAGAGTTCGCACTATGAATGAGAATGCACGATTTTTGCATGAATTAATGTGTTGGTCGAACAATGCACCTCCATTTTTCTGACAATGAAAAGCATACATAGTTCAAAATTATCTTTTATTTTAGATAGTTTGTAAATAATATTGTGTAAAAAAATATACATATAAATAATGTATACCTTTGTTTTTAAATCTCTAAGATAAGAAGTATCACAACAAAACATGAATCGTGCATGTTTGTCTTGAAGCGCGAGGTATAGGCTACCACTGGAATCTCTAACTTCTATGTTAACATTATATCTGTTAAGAAGAAACTGTGATGGATGATGCAACAAATTATATTAAAATTCAAAATATCTGAAAATAATTACCTGACAATAGTGTCGACTACATCATTACAATGGATACACACCATTTTTGTAAAATGAGATTGACATGGTTGGCCACAATTTTTGCATAACTCATGGAACATATTGTCTAGGTTGATACTTTGAATGTAAGTAAGTATCCGAAAATATTTAACCTAAAACCATCCAAAGAATGTATAGATTACAATTATTAATTTGAAACTACATGTAAATACCTGTTCATTACTTAATTATTTGAGAGGATGTGTACCGTGGGGATAACAGCATATTCGGATATCCATATTCTCTTAGTATTTGATATCAACAATGCTTGGGATATTATAAAATTGCACGACCGCAACAACGTCACTAATTTCTGAGCACATTTATCATTTTCAAACCTGCATATTTTTCAAATACATATTCGTAAGGGTATGAAATATTTTTAGTAATTTAATATTTTGGTATTTGTAAAACTTACCAACTGTGTAGGTATTGAGCAAAATCCAAGTAGTGATTGATATACAATTTGCTTGCTCGAATAGTATAGAGTGACGGTCCTGCACAATATGATTTATTTATTGATAAAGTATAAAATTTGAATAAAATAAAGTGAAAATAAATTGAATTACCTTTATAATTTCTCACACAAATACCACAGGCTAGCAAAACATTATTTTTTGTAATAGTTTGACGCAAGTGTTCACCATCATCAGTTGCAAATTTATCACACAAAGTCAACCGAACTACAATCAAACTTCATTTAGACAATTTTGGTAAGTATTTTATCAAAATTTGTAGAATATAAAATATTTTAAAGATATTAAATCTAGTAACTAACCTTTTGTCAACTAAAAGTATGTCACACTTAATTTTGTCATTGATAGACGTTTGATAGTGTGAACCAACGGATACAACTAAACCAACCACATCTGCAAAAGATCAAAAAATAGAAGTAATACCAGTTCAAATATACAACTTAAACAGAAGTATGGCTAATTATGAATGAAATACCTATCAATTGCACATCATTGTCCATGTGCTGTTCTGTATCTCTTAGTTTGACCAGATTAAACTTGAAACGGGGTATGGTTCCACAATCATCTAAAATATTCACTATCTTCGTATCGTTTCCAAACGATAATTGGTACTGATGTGGTGCAAGCCGATATTGAAGATCTGCAGGAATTACATATATATTTTGAAACCAGTATACCTTGCCTTCATGGAGATGATCTGCGAAAATGTTTATCATATTACTGCCTCTTATAACTCCCGACAAGATTCCATTTTTGATAGTTTTCAACAGATTAGTAATATTCAATATTCAATATAATAATTAACATACACTCTTAATTATTACCTGATCATCTATAAAAAAGCATCTTGATACATCCCGAACGTTGAAGCACTCCATATATGGTCATATCTATTAATCGAAACAATCTAACCTTTACATTCCATCCGTATCCGCAAGGATCCAGATAGAGTAAATGTGTATATCGAATATCTGTAAATTATTATAATATAGCATGAAGGTTAATTATTTAAGCGCTATATTTGATATAGCAAATAACACAAATTCAAAGAAATACCAAAAAAATGCCAAAGTATGAAACATATATAGTACATATGGTATAATGTAAATATACTATTTTTGTAAACAAAGCGATGTCCAGAATTTATCAAAGGGAGTCAAAAATCTCACGATTCACAATATTTTTTATGTAATCCCATGGATCATCATCTCTATTAACAATGAGTATTTTCAATCCATCTGGCGAAGTAGCACGGGACAGAGCAACATAAAGTTGATCATGTGAAAACACGGGTTCAGGAAGGTAAACGCCAACATTTTTCAAGGTTTGGCCTTGACTTTTGTTGATAGTCATTGCAAATGCCAATTTCACAGGAATTTGACTCCTTTTAATTGGAAAAGGAGACCGTGTACTCTGTGGTGTTAAAGAGATCCGATGTATGAGTACTAAATCTCCAATATTAGATCCTGTTATGACTTCTGTCTCGAGAAGTTTATCCCCCATTCTGGTAACGACAAGCCGTGTTCCATTGCAAAGACCTTCTGACTGATTGAGATTTCTCAAAAGAATTATGGGAGTTCCCTCTTTAAGTTCCAAAAAATGATTTGGAAGACCAGGAAAATTCAAAGAGTGCAACATTTCAGGAGGATTCATATTTTCAACAATGTCACCTTCAATATTGCAAAAAGTATCAGCACTCATATAGGTACGTGATTGACCAGGAAGCATTGATAGCATCTTATCATTCAACTTGTCAACATCACCATTTTTTGGAGCCAAAATAGCACGTTCCTTGAGGTAAGTGCTATTTCTGTATGAATCTCTCAAATTTGGATAGACAGAATCTATTAACCGCATCAAAGATTGACTATCATTTTTTATGAGAAATTGCGACGGCATCCGAATCCAGTTTGATTCCCCAAATTCAGTAAGTGAAATTGCTGAAACCTTTCCTTCACCAACGGACAGCAGCCAATTTGTAAAATCCATCAATTGCTGACACGTAGTTTTAGGAAGACGTAAATTCATTACACGCATATTTATTTTAAGATGCAGTACTTTACAGTGATCCCAAATCGTTGACTCTTTTATTGTAACTGATACTGTTGCTTCTCTTCCACCTTTAGAAACAATCGGTAATATTTGTCGAAAATTACCGCCCAAAACAACCAATTTTCCTCCGAAAATACAATCCTCAGAAGCATTTTCACTCAACTTTAAGATATTCTTTAAAGTTCTATCCACCGCTTCAAAACCATGCCGATGTGCCATTGGAGCTTCGTCCCAAATTATCAAAGATGTCTCCCTAATTAATTTAGCCAAGTTAGAATTTGTATTGATTAAACAACTTGATGACTCATCCAAATTAATAGGAATTTTGAAACGTGAATGCGCTGTTCTTCCACCTGGTAAGAATATTGCAGCAATGCCTGATGATGCAACTGAAAGAACAATTTTTCTCTGCGATCTGACTCGAGTAATCAATGTTCTCCATAAATAAGTTTTACCCGTTCCACCACTTCCATACACAAAAAATAGTCCACCGTGATTATGTGTGTATGATTCCATAATAAGCTCACATGCTTTCAGTTGATCCTCATTCAAACCAGCATATAAATTATCAAATAATTGCTGCTCCGATGTAAAATCGTAATCGAGCTCTTCTCTTATAAGTCTGTTCATGGAAAACTGAGCATTTTCAAATGACGGCAATGGCATTGGAGGAAAATCTCGTAACGATCGACCATTTTTGTTCAAAATGAGTTCGAGTTCAATTAATCTCAAATTTTGTAACTCACCATCATCTATGCGTATCTGAGAGTTTCCCATATCCCTTTTGATCTGATATTGCAAATCATCTGTCATACTTTTCCAATGACGCTGCCATAAAGCATAAGGGTTAGTTACCTCAGAATGCATAAGTATTGTACAATACATGCTGCGTAATTTTCTGGCAGATGCCCATGTAGATGCTTCAGCCAAAGCTTCATTCCACTCATTATCATCATCCAGAAGACCAAGTGCTGCACATGCAGCTTTGAATGTTGGATGCACAACTCCATCAATAGTTCTCAAATGTTCAAAACTTTGTGCACCACGAATTTTATTCAGTAACATTCTCAAATAGTATTGCTCACCGGAATGAGAATGTGCATATGGTAGCCTTCCGATACACCTACCTTGCAATCTGGACTCCCATTGACGTTTATTTTGCTTCCAAGTCCACTTACTCGGAAACTCCACAAACGTCAAGTTTCTAGCTGGAACATGGCTCTGATTTATTTCAAACCATTTCGTCAGCATCGTGTCATGTATGTGATCACGATCAAGAACGTCATAAAAATGATTATCATCATTAAATATCACAAATTGATGATCAGGAAGATGATACTGCAATCTAATCACGGATGGATACTGTCTCTGCATTTCGAAATCAAATATCTTCCAACATGACTCAATTGGCGATAAATATCGACAATCTAAGTACTGTTTAATTTCATCAACGCTTCTGTAACGACGATGACCACTTTCATTTGCAAGTACAACGTTATTCTCAATCTGAACATTTGCTCTATCAACCCCCTTACTCATTTACTTGTACAGATATTTAGTGATTTCTGGACGTGCAACTTTGGTCACATTGATATGACCATCAAACATCACAATCAAATCTCGATTGTAAGAAACAACCCATCTGTTGTCAAATGTAAAACCATTAATAGTTATCCTCTTACTTGGATCATCTCTACGTCTGTATAATACAAATCCATCTTCATCAATAGTGGTTTCACTACAAAATCTCTTTGGATAGTGTTTAGAGCACTTTCCGTTCACCATACACGGAGCATTTGGATAAGCATTACCACAGGGTCCGTGTAACATGCACCTGATGACCGTATCATAAGCTAGTGGATCAGCATTTGTGTCAGGTATTTCGGCACAAATGATTTCATCAATATGCTCTGTAGTAAGGGGCTTATCTTCCGGAGCTAATGTCAAAGTGATATGAGTATGTGGTAAACCACATTTTTGGAATTCAATGACAGAGATGTCTGCATATTATGGAAGTAATCTTAGTGTGTGGCAAAATAGGGAATCAAAAAAGAAAATAATGATTTGAATAAAGTAAAATTTTTACCTACAAGCACTTTTCCAAATAGTGGTATTTTTTAAAACATCCATCAACTTTTTTGTCTTATCCGAAAAACTCGAGCAGTAATATCGGGTCTGTCCTCAACTTTCTGTCCTGATATTCTTGTCAACTCTTGTTTAATTTCTGGCCAACTGAGATTGCAAGTAAACGTAATGAAAAGATCTGGATTTCCAATTGTCCTACAGATTGCCATTGCGTCCTGAAAATGTTGTACCATATTTCGGGATCCACCCGAAAACGAAGATGGTAGAACAAATCTCCTTCCAACAGCTGATGCATCTGTATCTCCAGCAAGTACAGCATCTGCTAAACCTTGATATACATCAGCACGTAATAGAGATTGATGGCTTTTCATAAAATTCAATCTGTAGTGTTCAATAGCTGCATAACAATCAACAATGAATTGTTGAAATAGTTTGGCACCTTTCAAAAGTGTGTGGCCTTCATTTTGTCGAAATTGTATACGATACGCATAGAATTCACGCATCGACACAAATTCTCTCTTCCTAACGGCAGAGGGTGAAAATCTTATTGCGCAATGCCATCCGTCTGTTCCATATGGAAATAGTAAAGGGTATTGAAGTGGCATGTATGATGGATGTGTCTCACTGATTCTTTTCAAATTTCCATCTCGAGTGACAAGCACAATATCGCGGTGTGTGACATGACCAGTATCTTCACCGACAAATCAAAGCAACAACTTCATTTGCAGTTGGTTGGATATATTGTCTGTCACCTCGAGCACTAATTATTTGTACTTGCAGATTGGCAACATTTTGATTTCGAAGCATGTCTTTTGCACTTCGAAAAACTTGTACGTATGGATTTATTTCATCTAGCATATTTTTCAATCCTTCAACTATTGATGCATCAATTCCAATTGGATTGCCATCATGATTGTTCAGAAGATTCATACGATTTTACAACTCATTATCGGTGTCATGGATGTATAATTGTATGAATCTACCTAATGCTCCAAAAGGTGGCAAAAGCGATCCGATTAGATGATAATTTTCTCCACTAATTCGAAATGAATATGGTCCAGCAGAATTGACTATAGAATGATCTACTTTGCCTCCCATGGATGTAAACCCGAATAGTGCATTTAGCAATCGAATCTTCTCTTTCAGTGTTGGAGTGATAAATACATGTTGTAAAACTTGGGAAGTTTGAGGTAATAACGGCAAAACAACATCCCCATCTTGACAACATAAATTGAATCTTGGATTTTGTTTTGTACTATTTTGAATTCTTTCTTCCACCCACATTAGAGATTGACATTTCTGACAGATTACTGTTCTTGGACCAAATGTCCATCTTCTTGTAATTTGACGTCGCCGTCGCCTTCGGCCTATTTGATCTAATTGATTGATGAAATAAGTATAATAAGGTACATACCTAAAATTGTCACTATATGTAAGGTATAAAGCACGTAATATTTGTTTGCCCAAGAACATATAGCAAGAAATATGAATTATGAAAAATTGAGAAAAGTATAAAGCACATAATATTTGTATGCCCAAGAACATGTAGCAAGAAATATTAATTATAGTATTAATTATGGTAACATGAGAAAAGTATAAAGCACATAATAATTGTATGCCCAAGAACATACAGCAAGAAATATTAATTATGAAAAATTGAAAAAAGTATAAAGCACATGATATTTGTATGCCCAATAACATATAGCAAGAAATATGAATTATGGAAAATTGAGAAAAGTATAAAGCACATAATATTTGTATGCTCAAGAACATGTAGCAAGAAATATTAATTATGGTATTAATTATGGTAACATGAGAAAAGTATAAAGCACATAATAATTGTATGCCCAAGAACATATAGCAAGAAATATTAATTATGGTTACATGAGAAAAATATTAGTAGATTACCGATTTGTTCTGCTCCAGCTGCGTTAATAGGCACAATGTCTTGTGTAGCAGGAACAAATTCTTCAGGTGAGCCTGTTTGTATAATGGGTTTTTAGAAGACAAATGGAAAAAAAGAATTGGAAGAAATTGAATTGCATAAATAATAATTGATTACTTAGTCAAGATACATGAGAAAACTTGGACTTACTATCATCAGGACCATTAGCTGATGACGTAGGTGTAATAGGAACTTAGTAGTTGGTGAGTCATTATGCAAGTCATCTATCATTATGTAATATAGAAAGTTAATATAATAATGTAGCACGTTAAAAAAATTAATGATTAAGCATGAATTTTAAATTGTGCATAAATTTGGAGTTACCATGATCATGGAGAATTGGGGCTGCGGTCGATGGATGTTGAAGTTGAAAAGATGTTGAATAATCATTTGTTTGATCTAAAAGTATATTAAAATAATTGTATTAAAAGACGTATTAAATTAAGTTACAATTATTAATGTAAAACTCATAAAAAATGTAATAATCTAATATATTATATGAATATTATGAATGAGCATGAGTGGTCTGATGTAAAACTTTAGCAAGATCTAATAAACATAACAATATTTGTTAACACAAATTACGTTGTGTGCAAAGATTAGAAAAATCGAAAAGAAGTATTTTAGTTTGAAAAATTATTTTTTAATTAATGAATGGTAATATGTGTATTTAATAGTAAGATTTGAGAAAATCTATCCTTAATTTGGTAATGTTTCTGATAGTAGTTGGTAATATTTTATGTTTGAGACATTATTTAGTGGGTGAACTCGATGTGAAATGTGAAGCATGATTTCAACCATATGAGTTTTGAGTCACTATATTTTTATGATATGTAATTAAACATTTAGAATAGTAAAATATATTTTTTATTATGTTAATTATTGCCTCAAACAAATTGTCAATTTTGGTAGTAAAAATGACAATATATTTATGTGAACCTTTGATATTAGATAAGATTGTAGTGATCCTATTCATTATGATTGACCACTGCATATGCAATAATAGGTTTTAGTACTATTTGTTAACATGTAACATATTAACAAAGCCATTGGGGAGCTTTCGGTGGCATTTATTAAAGTGCTTATAAACAATTGGTACTATTTCCACATTCTTATAAACAATGAAAATAACAATAATATTATAATATTCGAAATATTATTAATACTTAGAAGTACAATAATAATCCCAAATTTTAAAGAATACATAATACCGAAATTTCTAACTTGATTCTTATAAACAATGAAAACAACAATAATAATATAATATTGGGAAAATTATTAATAATTGAAATAACAATGGAAACACCAATATTTAAAGAATAAGTACCGTAACTTCTAACTTGATTCTTATAAACAATGGAAACAGCAATAATATTATAATATTGGAAATATTATTAATAATTGCAATTATAATGAAAATGGCAATATATAAAGAATAGATATTACCGGCTTGATTCTTATAAACAATGAAAACAATAATAATATTATAATATTAGAAATATTATTAATAATTGTAAATATAATGAAAATACCAATATTTAAAGAATAAATAGTGGCGAAACTTCTAACTTGATTCTTATAAACAATGGAAACCATCTAATTCTGGATTGTGCCCATGCATAGCACAATCGAGATGTGACATGAATTTTAATTTTTTTAAGAACCTCATTCCTAGGATCCAGCGACTACAACACACACACAAGCTGTTGAGACAATTTTGCGACTAAATATATAACTAAGGTTCGAGTATGTTGGGGGGTTCATTTTATGTGATGCTTAACAAATATAGGATTTTTTCCAAAGTTCGAATTTTTTTAAATATATATATATATATATATATATGTAAGATTTTATCCGGAGAGAGTTTGGACACGGCATGAGTTGGTGCTTGCCACAAGCCACTTGAGGAAAATGAAGGCAGGAAGACAGGAAATGGCACTAATCCAGCGTCGATCATAGCCACGGGCCAATAGAGACATGCAATCATAATCATACGTAGCCCCCAGACACCTCGGAGCCTTCATACCCGGTACATGTATCCAACCCAATTAACCTAACCACAACTTGCGCCTTTGCCCTACACTTTCCTGACCAAACATTTATAACTGGTGCCACTGACATTATTAAAAAACCGGTGCCCTACTCTTTTGGTTGGGCAGATGCTCTTCGTCACTACCATCTGTTGTATGGGAAGCTACTGGTTCTTGATGATTGTAATATGCTCATTTACCTATAGCCCTGAACTGTACATTCTAGATTACTAATGAAACTTGGACATAGTTGCATGACTGGCAACCGAATTCCCAGCTTTTAAGTTTTCAAGTAATATTGACTCTTTATTACATGGTGAAGCGTCCTTTCTTGCTCCAGGCACAAACGGGGTACTGCCAATTGGTAGTTCTCTTAATCTGCCAATTGGCTCAATAAAATTTCTAAATTTATTCTAATAAACAATGGAAACAGTAATAATATTATAATATGGGGAATATTGTTAATAATGGTAACTACA